GAGGCTCCCGGCCCCGACGCAGACCGACTTCCGACCCCCGGCCTGGCGGCCAAGGGCCCGGGAGGCTCACCCCGAGCAGAACGCCTGCCCGCCCTTCTTCAGTAGTTACTTCTCTTCCAGGATTGACGCCTGTTCTCGTGAAGTGCACAGTAACCAGGGCTAAGGCTCCATGAGCGCCCAGGGGAGGCTGGGAGCGTGCGCACCGGACACGCGACACCCAGCACGTTTGCGCGTCTGCAGGTGCGTGGCCGGGAGGTGGTTTGCCTTGTTTTTGGTGAAATCGTCCTGTGCACGTTGCTCTGCAGTTTGTCACTTCTCTCTGCTGCACGTCACTGCCGACTCGTGAGCGTGGCTCGTCCTCTTTGACGGCCGGAGAGGTTCCCACACATCGCAGACTCATCGTTTATTTAATCTGTCCTCCACTGACGCACGTTTGGTTCCTCTCCAGTTTTCATCAGGACGCAGGCTGCCGTGACTTTCTGGCACCTGTCTTAGGTGGGCCCCCAGAAGCAGAACCTCTGGGTCAAAGGAGTTCCCCCCTTTTTCTTAATTGTTATGGACCAGCCAAATCATCCTGCCTGCCATTTTGGAAAAGATTCTCAGAAGATAACATTTGCTTAAAAAAGAAAAGTCTAGAACATTTTTGCTGCCGAGATTTCCTCTTGGAAATCCAGTGCCGGCAGCTGCTCACAGCTGGGCTCTCTGCTTCCGAGTTGATCCCAAATCAGATCCCCAATTCAAAGCTTAGGGTCCATGTCTCCCAGGGAGATGCCATCCATGTGGTGCCCACGTGGCGCGTGCATGTGTGTGCGTGTGTTTGTAGCAGTGGAAGCCAGAAAGACCCTGGGGCAGCCCCTTGTCCATGTTTACACCTTCAACTTCCTCCTCCTGGTCTTTCTAAGCCATGGTGGGGGAGGGAATTCAACCTCAGGGGCTGCAGGAAGAATTTCACCCTCATACTGGAACGTTCCAGCCATATGTGAACAATCCCCAAGGGCATGCAAGAAGATGAGCAAGGAGAACGCAGGAGTCCTGCAAGAAAGCGGTGGCTGGTGGGACGAAAGCCACCGGCGAAGCCTTCCAACGTTTTAAAATCTGATGTGAGTCCTGCGGGGCCCCTCACCTGCACCCGTATTTCCCACTGCTGGAAAAAAGTATGTCCGCAAACCGTTGCCAAGCACCGAGGTCTGAAACTTAAAGACTCTGTCCGCTGGACACAGCCGCCTCCCCCCTCCCAGGACACTGAATGTGCCCTGACGGCGTGGCTCGCGCTGCGCACAGCCTATGCCGGACATCCGGGGACGCTCCGGCAGGCTGTGGGCCTCGTGGCACCCTGACGTGGCTCCGGCCCTGGATTCCAGGCGAAATAAAACAAGTCTCCCGGCCTCCGTGTGTTTTCCTTATTATCTGATCGGCTGGCCCCCAGACCAGCGCCCTCACTTGGTCAAAGGGAAATGTTGTAAAGCGCAGGCCCCGCAGAACTGGGACACGTGGAGACTCGGCAAGGAACAAGGCAGCCCTTCCACACCAAGCGACAGCTGCTGCTCAGCGGAGGGTGTCCCCGAGGCTGCCCCGGCGGCCTCGGCACGGAGATGGAGGGACAGAGAGCTCGGACCCTTTGAAAGCGGCCATCGGCTGCGGCTGCAGACTCAGCCCCAAGGCTGCCCAGGAGGCTGGGGTGCAGCACCCGGGGACGCGCGGGCTCACCGCCAGCAAGCAGAGCCCAGCTGCTTCTCGTACAGGCAGCAGGGCCGGGGGAGCTCAGAAGACCCGGGGTAGGGGAGGGTCTTCATGCTGAGACATTTCTGCTCTTGCTCAGAGAGACCAGGAAAGGACAGCAAGGTGCGTGGATGCTCAGACCCTCCGCACGCCCATGGCGGGTTTCCGGCCAGCTCCGGTGCAATGGCAGCCCCGGAGCAGCCAGCAAAGCTCTCAGCGACCACTTCCTGCTCTAGATCTGAAAGCCGGGGCAGGGGCTCCACCTACGGCCGGGGCCGGAGCCCTGGGGGAGCCGGCACCGTCCCCTGCACACCCCACCCGGCCCACTGGCCTCGGGCGGCCCTGAGGCAGGAGGGGCTGGGAAATCACTGCTGCTTCCAGAGCCGGGAAAGCCAACAGGCCTGGAGGGAGGCACTGAGGTGCACCAGGGCCTGCGTCTACTGCCAGTCCTCTCAGGAGGACCCCCGCCGTGTGGCCCCTGATGTGAAAAGCGTCCTTCCGGCTCCCAGGGGGCTCGAGGGGTGAACAAACGACTCAGGAGACCCCAGGATCACCGGAGAGGGGTGCCCAGGCCACAGAGAGGACACGGCCCCGCCACACACATGAGGAAGGCCCGTGGCACCACGGCTTGTAGCCGGGACATCACAGACACCTGGCTGCACGGAACGCGTGAGTAAGCAGGTGTCCCAGGTTAGACGGTCCCATACGAGGTGTCCTGAGCACACAGGGCCACCGGGCGAGCAGAGCCCCACGTCCTGCCCCAGGAGGCGGGAGGCGGTAGAATGACATGCCCTGGGGCTTGCGGGCGGCCACTCGCCATGGCCTTTGCAAAGCGAAAAGCTCCCTTTGGGCCTCAGTGGACTCTGCCTCTTTGTCAGACTGCAAGGGACCTGGCCTGTGTCCACTCCTCAGGCCCTGGTGTAAACAAGTCGGCCAGGAGTGGAAGCCGCAGGGACCCCTGGGACTCACGCTTTCAGTGGGTGTGATCGCGGGGGTTCATACAAGCCTTTTAAGGCGCGGACGAGGCACTCAAGCAAAATCGCAAAACCCTGCAAGACGCCCAACCCATGGAACACGAGGTCGAGGGGCTGCTGACTGGGAGAAGGGGCAGGAGAGGTGGTGCCCGGGGGGCAGCGTTACTGCCGGGCTGTGTGCACACCTCCCTTCCCCGAGGGCACAAGGGCCCCCGATTCTGCAGGGAGGGAGGCAGCCCCGCGGGCAGGGGCCCCCATGCTGGTCGTGGAGGGTCACGGAAGCCCACCCGTGGAACCCCTGGGGCTTCAGGAACAGCTGGCCTGTAGGAGTGGGGGAGGGGCTTCCTTCCATTCGGGCCCAACCAACCCGACTACTGCTCAACCAGCACCAGGAAGCAAGCGGCAAGAAGGGGTCTGAGGCGCCAGCTGCTAAGACGCGGCATAGAGGACGGGTCCAAGGGGTGCAGCCAGGAGAAGGGGGGCCTGGGGGCATGAGGCTGGGCTGGAGCAGGCTGGTTCCTGCCCCAACGCGATGCTGTGGGGACAGGGATGCAGGCAGGCTCACAGCCACCTGCCCGCTGGGTGCACAGCACGGGGACGGGGGCACAAGGAAAAGTCCGGGGGGGGGGTCCTACGTCCAAGGGACGCAGCACCCAGTGAGGAGACAGCTCGCACGGTGAGGGCGAGGCAGCAAGCAGCAGTCAGGCAGGAGCAGTGAGAGGGGCTGCAGAGTCCCAGGGCGGTGGGGCAGGCGGGCGGGCGGGGGGTGGGGATTGGCCGGATCACCCAGGGAGCAGCTCCCACATGCACACAGGCACGTGAGGCCAAGCAGGCGACGGGGACCAGAATATGCCACCCCAAACATGCCACTTTGGCATGGGGAAAATTATTCCGAGCTGGAGGCAACAGAGGATCAACAGATGCGGGAAAAGTCCCCTGCCCTCCCCCCATCAGCCTAAGAGCAGGACGTACGCTTCCCTTTGTGACGGTGGCTCGGAGTCTCCACCACTCCCACCTGAACCCGGTGAGGGCAGTGACCGTCTCCCTGGAGACGGACAGCGGGCACCGAGACGAGCCCGCCTGGGCGGACCTTGCTGGAATGACCCTCGTCTTACGTTAGTTTCTCCCGTCTATTTTGTAGTTGTGTCTCCATAATTTATTGCTCTTTGTTAAAACGGTGCATAAGTTCCCAAGCCTCACTATTTCTCTGGGTTTTTACTTCGTGAAGCCCCCATGCATGTAAAATTTAGAATATTAATAAAATATTTTACCTTTTTAATGTCTTTGGTCAGTTTAATCGGCACGCCCCATGCACCAAACATAAGAGGGTAGAGGAAAAGTTTTTTCCTCTCGTACAGAGGGATTCTGAGGTCAGCCTGCTCCTGACTCTGTGTCCAGTGTTCTTTCACAGCTCATGAGCACACAACCAGGAGATCTGGGCATTGAGAGGCTGCTGAGCCGTGAGCAGGGACAATTCCTGGACAAGGCCAGTTAAGCAGGGCTCGTGGCGAGGGGGGCAGTGCTCAGCTCCCAGAACCAGCCTCTCTCCCCAGGACGGTCAGTGGGCTGCAGCATCAGAGACCAAGGGCCCCAGAGCAGGTGGGTCCTCTGCCTGCCCCTCCTTGGTCCCTGTCTCCTGGACCCCAGCTTGGGTTTAAGAGAGACCAGCTGTAAAGGCACCAAAATGACACTCCCGGGTGTCGTGGCTCCTCCAACAGCCAGGCCGCAGGGCGCAGAGCACCAGCAGGGGCACCGTCAGGCTCAGTCCAGAGGCAGGGACCAAGGAGGGAGGGGAGCCCCTCTGGTTCACGGGCACTGAGACCCAGCGCCCAGCACTGTGGACACTCAGTGAACATCTGCATGCTGGACGGACAGATGGACGGACGGACTGACACTGGGAGCACCACAGCGGCTGACCGGAGATGCCAGTCAGTACCATGCCCACTGTGGACAGCATCCTAGCCTTCGTCTAAGAGGGAGGAGGTCTGCGCTGCC